GCAAACTGTGCTTAGCTTCTCCCTATTTGTAAAACGGCGGGGGAGCGAATTCCTGAAAGGTAATCTGACCTCCAAAGACACGCGGATTAAAGGGGACTGGGAACTGTTGGATGTTTTTCTGATGTACCTGTGAAAAAAAAAATCTGTTTAAAATATATTCAAAGACATTTTGTTTACATTTTGGATAGTTTAGGGCAGCCTTTCTCCACCTTTATAAAGTGCAGGCTGTGCCGGGACAAGGTCGTCTGGAGCCCATGGCGAACATACCAAACTGCAAACCCCCCCCCCCAAGATCTATGAGTATTCGGTGTCAGCAAATATCCCCTCCCCCCCAAAAAAAAATCAAGCACTTATCTTGCATACTTAATTCTTAAGCGTACATTCCCCCTCCTCCCAGTACAAATCCGCCCCCCTGCCGAAATCCTCCCTCCCAGCTCAATTCTTTCTCCTGTCCCCCAATCTCAAATCCTCTCTCTCCCCATATGCCCCCAACACAAACCCTCCCCCCCAAAATTAAAAAAAAAATTCCCCCTCCTAGCACAAATCCTCTAACCCTTAATTTTCTCCTCTGACCTAGTGTGGTCAGTTTGAAATAGGAAAGCAGGAGGACTGGCAGAATCACCAGGTATTTCACACAAAGGAAGGAATACAAAGAGAACAGCATACTTTTTGACATACATGGTACAGCAGAGACGTGTCCGTAATATAAAATGTTGGGGGTAACATATTCTTTAACTTCAGGGGAAATGTTTTACATCCAAACTCCTCGAGCGCTTAGTCTACAATCGCCTAAGCTCCCACCTCAATGACAACAACCTCCTTGATCCACTACAGTCTGGCTTCCGTCCCCTACACTCCACTGAAACTGCCCTACTCAAAATCACTAATGACCTGCTAACCGCCAAAGCTAATGGCCACTACTCTGTCCTCCTTCTCCTGGACCTCTCCGCGGCCTTCGACACAGTTGACCCCCCCCCCTCTTTAATAAACTACACTCCCTCGGCATCAGAGACACCGCTCTCTCCTGGCTCTCCTCCTATCTATCCCAACTCTCCCTCCTTCAGCGTTACCTATAACGCTGCCACCTCCCCTCTCTCCCCCTCTCTGTTGGGGTCCCCCAAGGCTCTGTCCTCGGGCCCCTTCTCTTCTCCATCTACACCTCCTCCCTTGGCCAACTGATACACTCCCACGGCTTCAACTATCACCTCTACGCCGATGACACGCAAATCTACCTCTCTACCCCTCACCCCTTCAGTCTCCGCCCGAATCACCTGCCTACTGAACGACATATCAGACTGGATGTCACTCCACTTCCTCAAATTAAACCTTTCCAAAACCGAGCTCCTAATTTTCCCCCCAGCCCGTGCATCCCCCTACCCTCTCCATCACGACCAACAACGGCACCATCAGTGCCACCCCGCAAGCCAAAGTCCTAGGTGTCACTCTAGACTCAAATCTGTCCTACCAACCCCATGTCCAATCGCTGGCAAACTCGTGCAGACTCCACCTCCGCAACATCTCCAAAATACGTTCGTTCCTCACCCCAGGGACTACTAAACAACTCATTCACTCCCTTATTATCTCACGTCTGGACTACTGCAACTCCCTCCTCACCGGCCTACCCCAATACAGGCTATCCCCGCTTCAGTCTATCCTGAACTCAGCGGCCAGACTCATCCACCTTACGAACAGCTCTGCTGCTGCCACCCCCCTCTGTCATTCCCTTCACTGGCTTCCGATTGCTCAACACATTAAATTCAAACTACTAACATTGACGTACAAAGCCATTCATAACGCTGCCCCAAACTACCTCACTTACCTGATACCCAAATACCACCCAACCCATACCCTTCGCTCCTCACAAGACCTCCTACTTTCTAGCTCCCTGGTCTCCTCCTCCCATGCCCGACTGCAGGACTTCTCCAGGACTTCCCCCATCCTCTGGAACTCACTACCCCAATCCATCAGATTGTCACCTACCCTCCTCACCTTTAGGCGCACCCTGAAAACCTATCTCTTCAGGGAAGCCTACCCTACCCTCACCGAACAGCCGATCTCCTCCGCTCCTCCTACCACTCCATCCCCCACAGCCACTTCCTCCTGTACCACCATCCCCTCCCTCCTAGATTGTAAGCTTGAAAGAGCAGGCCCCTCGAACCCCTCGTATATTGTTTTGTTACTGTATTGTCTCATGTACTGTCCCCCACTATATTGTACAGTGCTGAGCAAACTTTTTGGCGCTATATAAATACTGTATAATAATAATAATATATGCAGCTTATGGTACATTGATATGATCAATAAATAATGAATAAAAGAATGTAGCGCTACCCTCTTGAGGGCCGTTGAGTTTTTGCTAGGTCCCCCTAAGCTCTGCACAGCCAGGCAACACACATTTTCCACACTTTCTCTCAGTCAATGAGCTTGTTTTTTGCTGTTTATATTAGGGGTTAACAACTTGGATGGGGTCTAGGTGTGTATGGGATTCCCAAGGAACTGTAGAACTTTGAGGACAACTTGTTAGGAGCAAAATGTACAAAAATGTGGACAAAAATCAGCAACAGTTTTAGTAAGGAGCTCTGAGTCCCCTTTGGTTAACCTCCTCAGACCCCCGATAAAGCTTTCCTCATCCACCCGTCTGTCCTGAGGGTATCCCTGGGCAAGGAATTCCAAAATCTACCATGGAGTAGCTCCAGATGGGAACTAGTTGGGTATTGCACCTGACTGCCCTCTCCCTTCTTTGGCGTAGAAGGGGTATACGTACTCACACTGCCCTGTCTTGTAGCTTAATGGGTCACAGCTGCGTTCAGGACTTACGCAGGGCTGGCTCCTTCCCTGCTGAGAGGCTGTCTTTCCCAAGTAGACTGTAGGGTCTAGTAGAGATCCTTCTGTCCAGCTCCAGACTGTAGGTAGGTCCTTTTCCATTGGGGGCCCCTTTGCAGGCTCCACACACCAGCACATTCCTTCATTCCATCTTCCACCTGACTCCCCTGCTGTTCTGGCTCTCTTACATTTAAGGGTTGTCCTAGCCACCATGCCAGGCTTCCTGCCTGGGAATTGGGGATTGTTCCCTCAAACAAATCGAGGCCTCTTCCCCTCCTCCATCCACAGTGACAGCAGTTTCCAGAAGGGTGGGAGGGCACCAGAAGCCCTGACCTGTAGAGTTTCTCAGCCTGATTGAGGTAACCTCACTGCCTCATTCCCAAACTGACTCATCCCAGGCTTCTAGTAGGCCTCTGACACACAGACAAAATCCTGCCTAAACTACAGGATACAAGAATACAGAGTATTTAGTAAATGCGACCCAAAGCAGCACATTATTTTTAGTGAAAAAAATAACTCTATTAGCGTATACAACCTCTTACACAATATATTGGATGAAGTATGGAATGGTAAATACCTATCTTTTGTTATGTAGATACTACAGGAAGTGATAGCAAAAGGCCTTCTTAGACCATTGTAACCCAAACAAGTTTTCCCCTCCATTCCTGTTCTAATGGCAACTTAGAATGTTAGTTTCTTCCTCACCTTCAGTCCTGGTGACAATGGTCACTGGGACAAATCAAAACAGTGTATATTTTCTAACAAGGACACAGAGTAATGAAAAACTTGCAGGGGTTCTCACCACTCTTTTCAAGACTAAAATAAATGTTGTATATACAAGTGGCCAAAAAAGAAACAAAGACATTAAAAATTGTATTGAACCTTTCCATTAGTGGTCAACGAAGAAGTGCCCCTTACATTGGTGTTCAGTGAAGAAGTGCCCCGTACATTGGTGTTCAGTGAAGAAGTGCCCCTTACATTGGTGGTCAGTGAAGAAGTGCCACTTACATTGGTGGTCAATGAAGAAGAGCCGCTTACATTGGTGGTCAGTGAAGAAGAGCCCCTTATAATCCCTAGCAACCCCCGGAGGAACCCGATTTGAAAAAGGTGGAATTAGGGAATGGTTAAATCCCCTGTCAGTTTTCTGTGGTTGCTGTGTCCTGTGCCAGTGGGGAGATTTCCCATGGCTTCCTGTACTACAAATACAACAGGAAGTGATGGCAGAATCTCTCCAAGGTGAAGGTTATCTTTTTGTAGACAACTGTCATAGGAATAAGGGTCCCCATTGGAAATTCCCCCTCTATTCATGTTCTGGTGACTACTTTTTTAGATGTTCCTTCACTTTCAGTCCTGATAACAATTTTCAAAAGGACAAATGTAGATGGGTGAATCTCCCCACCAGGGAGTTAGACAGCAACAAAAAACCTGCCCCTTCCACCCTAACCTAAACCTAGGTGTCCGTAGTGGAAGATTTCTCCTCTACTTCTGTTCTCGTGACAACTGTAAAGTTTTGAATTTCCCATCACATTCTGTCCTGATAATAGTTATATCTATTACCTACAAATAAAAGTTGCAGAAAACAGTGATTGTACAATACTCTCGCAGCACAATTTAGGAAAGGCTAATTTGATTTCTACATTGTAACAGTTTACTCTAGAACAGTGGTTCTTAACCTTGTTGGAGGTACTGAACCCCACCAGTTTCATATGCGCATTCACCGAACCCTTCTTAATTGGAAAAATAAAATATGATTTTTAAAATTCAAAACATAGGTATATATTTAGGTATATATTTATACATAGGTGCACAAAATGAACAAAACCGTTAAGAACAAAGAACAAAACCATTAAAACATGATTTTCACACAAAAAAACATAATAATGAATATTTACTGCACGAATCATATGAGTCGGGTGTGGGTCTTCACTTCCGCCGAACCCGCGAGACTGACTCACCGAACCCCTGGAGTTCGATCAAACCCAGGTTAAGAACCACTGCTCTAGAATGTTGTGATCTGGCTTTGCATGTGAAAGCATTGCGCAAGAATTTTCTTTGATTTCATTTACACAATAAGCTTGTTTTTGGCTGTTTTTCACTGTTAATTTTATTCCAAATTTCTCATCCATTCAGGCTTTGTGACATCGGTCGTTTTCTGCTCCTTCATATTGAGGAATGCTTTGGCTTCCGATTCCAGGCCTTCTGGTGGAGATGCATCGTTAATAGGTTCAGAGACCAAATGTCCAACTCCCTGTCTGTGCAGCTATGAATACAATGATGAGTACAACATCTTCTGCAGCTCCCGAAATCTTTCCCGGATTCCTGAACAACTTCCCACTAATGTTCGATCTTTATGGCTGGATGGCAACAACCTCACCATGCTGCCAAAGGAAGCGTTCAAAAATTTGTCTCAGCTCGATTTTCTCAACTTGCAGAGCAGCCAGTTGAATAACTTGGAGCAGCACTCCTTCCATGGGCTAAAAGCTTTGGCCCACCTACACTTGGAAAGGAACTTGTTGAAGTTTCTGGCTCCCAACACTTTTCTTCACACTCAGAATTTGGTGTCTTTGAGTCTTAACAACAATTACTTCACGAAGATCGAAGATGGTTTGTTTTCTGGACTTTCAAACCTTTGGTACCTGAATTTGGGTTGGAATTCACTTGTGGTACTCCCAGACACAGTGTTCCATGACCTGCCAAATCTTCGAGAACTTATATTGGCTGGGAACCGATTGACCTATCTTCACCCTCCGCTATTTCTCAGTCTGGTTGAGCTCAAGGAACTGGATTTAAGTGGGAACCTTCTGAGAGGAATAAAGGCTCACATTTTCACAAAGCTGCACAAGCTCCAAAAACTGTATCTCAACCACAACATTATTTCTACAATTGCTCCAAGAGCTTTTGTGGGCATGAAATCTCTCCGCTGGCTAGATTTGTCTCATAATCGTTTGTCAGCTCTATCCGAAGACACCTTTGTTGGGTTGTTGAGCCTTCATGTTTTGAGATTATCCAACAATTCCCTTACAAGTCTTAGGCCTAGGGTTTTCAAAGATCTCCAATTTTTAGAGGAGTTAAATCTTGGGCATAATAAAATTAAAAGTCTTACCGAAAGGGCATTTGATGGCTTGGGGCAACTAGAATTTCTGTCTTTAAACCACAACAGTATTCAAGAGATTCGTTCTGGGGCATTTTCTGGACTTCTCAGTGTGGCAGTTATGAACCTTTCTGGGAACTGTCTCAAAACTCTCCAAGAAAATTCTTTTAGAGGTCTTGGCAAGCTTCACAGCTTGCACTTGGAAAACAGTTGTCTCAACAAAATCAAGCCACTTATGTTCTCAGGTCTTTCAAATCTCCGTAGACTCTTTCTCCAGCGAAATGAAATTTCATTTATAGATGATAACAGCTTTTCTGACCTTCAAGATCTGCTAGAACTTGACCTCCCGGCTTAATAGGTTAACCCAGCTTTCAGCCAAGTCCTTCAGTGGGCTGAATGACCTGTCTTATCTTCTTCTTTCCAATAATCAAATTCTGACTATTTCTTCAGAGACCTTCGGTCCATTTCAGAGGCTACATTGGCTTGACCTTTCAGATAACCAACTGAATTCCATAGCTGCTGATGTGTTCCAGCCTTTGTCTCACTTGAGGTATCTCAGTGTACAACGTAACCCCCTTAAAATCATTTCTGTTACTTTCTTGCTGTCAAACTCCCCTTTGGAGCAGCTGTGGTTGAATGGAAACCATTGGGATTGCAGCTGTCCCCTTAAAGACCTCAGAAATTTCTGTTTAAGAAATGCCACTGTTGTCCCACGGCTGGTGCAGTCTGTGTCAGAGGGTGATGAGACTAGTCCTCCAAGTTACATCTACAACAACATCACCTGTGCCAGTCCTCCTGAGGCTGTAGGCCTGGACTTGCGGGATTTGACTGATAAACACAATTTTCTCATTGCCCCTGATAATACCGATTTGGCTACTTGGCAAGATAGAAAAACAGTTGAATTGCAAACCAAACTGTCCACTTTTTCGTCTTGGTAGTGACAGTTTTCTTACCGTTTGTATATAAAATTATTTAGGAAGTGGAAATCTCACTCATTTGAGAGGAATGAAAGTAAAAGAACCACTGAAAAGAGTTTGTTTTTCTGGAGCTCAGATAGCACACCACTATCTCCCCTTTCTCCACAGGATCTTGACTGCTGAACTGCATAGCCCAGTTGAGGCTCAAAATGCAAAAGTAGAAAGTGTGTTGCCTCCAACTGCACACTTTGGATTTCATTTTTATGATAATAATCACACAATATTGAGCTGTGAAAAGAGGGATAAAACTTAGTTGAAAGGCATTCATTGTACAGGTGCTTGGAGCAACACGTTGGCTACTCTGGGAAACTGGGAACTTTGGGTGGACATTTCGACAATGAGGTCCACAAAACCTGCAAGAAGCCAGCAGATTCCATAATTTTACCATCATCGTGTTCCATATCAGTTCCTGAGAGAAATAATCCTTCTGATGCTCTTTTAGTTTTTAAGTTAGTTGGGCAGATCAATGGATTTCTTTTGGACCTACCTGGGCTGTGTCTTGACACAAGAGCGAGTCATCTCTTGACAATGGTATCCATGCTACACTAATACAATCAGTCAATACAATACATCATTTTATATCTAAACAATTGCTATTGTACTGTGAGCTTTTATTCTGGGATAAGACATTTTCTAACTATTGTGCCATAGCTGTGCTGTAATGGGAAGCTTGCACACCTACTCACAGACTAATCAGAAAATAATCAGTGGATTGTTTTAGGTAGAATAGGGAAAGGATCAATATGTCTATCATGTCTATGCCTTCCTGTCTCTGTGACACCTGTACAGGAAATGGGGAACGGGGTTTCACTGGAACAGAAAGGCAAGGACCGCAATAAAACTTTGTTAAAGCAATGAATCGCTGCCCAATAAACGTGCAAATACCTCAAAATATACATATTAATAAATTAATGCAATGTGCTTTCTCTGAAAATACACCATCAGCATAGTTATGTAAACAAATAATTCATAAATTTAAATTAATATAGTATGTAGTCTCTCGATATGCAAACGTGCAATGATTCAGAATCATACAGAAGTGTGTCCGGTGGTCCCACTTACTCACCAGGTCCCGTAGACTCTTATAAGAACAAGAGTCTATCACCCTTGTTTGTTGTATAGGCTCATCTGGGATTTGTAGTCCTCCTGTGGGTCCGATCCTCATTCTAATTCTCAATTGTCAGTTTCCCATTTATGAATATGAACTGCTCATCAGATAGTATACAGAGAGAAAAAGGAGGACCAGACAGCGAAATACCGTTTATTAAAATCATGTTCCACTCACATGTAATAGCAGATAGAAAAGCATACAAACGCTGGACTGGAAGTCGCGCACCGGCATGCATTCCACCGGCCTGAAGTAATGTCACCAGCAGCTCCCAGGTGGGATGTCACAGTTGGTGGAACACATGCTGGTGCGCTACTTCCGGTCCGGCGTTTGTATGCTTTTCTATTTAAATAAAAAAGAAAGCTCTAGTTGTGTGAACAAAATGATAAAATGTTAGTTTGGGTACAATGTTGCATGACCGCATAATTGTCATTCAAAGTGTGAGAGCTCTGAAACCTGAAAATTGGCCTGGGCAGGAAGGGGGTAAAAGTGCCCGGTATGGAAGCGGTTAAAAACACTGTGTTGCTTTGTCCATTTAGTCCTAGCTAGCCTACCCCAGTCTAGCCCTAGCTAACCCATCGCCTTCCTCCCACATACCCAACAATCCTTTACTCCTTTGGGGCTATAGCAAATACCTGGCACTTCCTGGGCCTCAGCGGCCAATTACCATGCCCGTACGCTATTAGAACAAAATCATTAACCCTGTGTAAGCTCCGGTAGCATTGAACTTAGAGCTTACACATGGCTTGACTCCTAGATGAACGGGAGGGAGGGGGATGGGTCTGGTAAGCCCCAGGAAGGTAGGTAGAAGTAGAGTGAATGGTGAACTGGTAAGACACTCAGTCCCGAATAATCCTTCTTAAAGTTGGACTCCAGGCAGATATGAGAAATGCTAATTAAAGCAGCTCTGTGGTCATTAAAAATAATAATTCAATATAATTATTAAATGCATGCAGTATAAGTACCTGCATTGGACCTGCCATCACCTTTTACAGCCTCTCTACAGCAGAGCTAGGGAGTGAGAGGAAGAAGCAGCACAAGGAGCCAATCAGTTAATGTGTTGACAAGAAGCGTGCTGATAGAAGGAGAAGGCACAGTGATAGAAAGATGACATCATCACTGTGCTGCTTCTCCTTTCACTGTCCAGTCACAGGCTGGAGGCTTGTCCGGGATGACCTAGACTCAACGAAAGTGATGGATGATGCTTGCCATCAGACTGGTGACATCTTGCTCCCCCCCACCCCCAGGTATAGGTGGAATGGGTTATGAGTGAGATTATAGTTTGTCAGTTTTTTTTTTTAATTTACAGGCTCTACAGTGCAAACACTTAGAAACGTGGAGGTAGCAATGTAGCAGGAAACATCAACCAAGGTTTGTTTTTCTTGGAAGGACTAAATTAAATAAACCCATCAGGGTGGGTGGTAACATACAGACTGTTTTTTGGTGGCAGAGGTGGCTGTATTTTACCTTTTCGCTAAATGCATAAAACTTTATTATACTGGACATGCTAAAACATGAATATTCTGCAATAACCACAGCTGCTTATTTTCTGTTATTTTATTAAATAAACATTGTACAGTAGTTGTGAACAATGAGATCAAAGCCTGCTGCATCATACACTGAATGTTGTACATAGGGAGCACATGTATGAAATGAATGGGAGTATTCAATAGGGGCTCATTGAAAATGGCCACCCATTCTATGTGCAGAGCCGCTGTTTTCTGCATCTGCCTTGGAGCTGGTGCAGGCAGTCTATAGAAGTGGATGCAGACACGGTGGCTGAATGGACACAGCCGCATGTCAAAATTGGAATAAAGTTGTTGCAAAAAAAAAGTCAAGTTCCTTCACCCCAAACTGGCTCCTCCATGTCTTTATGGACCTTGCTTTGTGCACTGGTGGGCAGTCATGTTGGATCAGGAAGGGGTCATCCCCAAACTCTTCCCACAAAGATGGGAGCATGAAATTGTCCAAAATGTCTTGGTATGCTGATGCCTTAAGAGTTCCCTTCACTGAAACTAGGAGGCCAAGCCCAACTCCTGAAAAACAACCCCATACCATAATCCCCCCTCCACCAAACTTTACACTTGGCACAATGCAGTCAGGCAAGTACTGTTCTCCTGGTAACCGCCAAACCCAGACACGTCCACCAGATTGCCAAACAGAAAAGCGTGATTGCTCACTCCTGAGAACACGTCTCCATTGCTCTAGAGTCCAGTAGCGGCGTGCTTTACACTATGGCATCCGATGCTTTGCATTGCACTTAATGATGTAAGGCTTGGATGCAGCTGCTTGGCCATGGACACCCATTCCATGAAGCTCTCTACGCACTGTTGTGCTCATCTGAAGGCCACACCAAGTTTGGAGGTCTTTAGCTATTGACTCCGCAGACAGTTGGTGACTTCTGTGCACTGTGCGCTTCAGCATGCGCTGACCCCGCTCTGTCATGTGACGTGGCCTACCACTTGGTGGCTGAGTTGCCGTTGTTCCCAGTTGCTTCCACTTTGTTATAATCCCACTAACAGTTGAGCGTGGAATATTTAGTAGCCAGGAAATGTCACGGATGGACTTATTACACAGGTGACCACCTATCACGGGACCACACTTGGAGTCACTGAGATCCTGAGAGCGACCCATTCTTTCACCAATGTTTGTAGATCAGTCTGCATGCCTAGGGGCTTGACTTTATACACCTGTGGTCATGGAGGGGATTGGAACACCTGAATTACATGATTTGGAGGGCTAGCCTAAAACTTTTGGCAATATAGTGTATATATATATTTTTTTTTCCAAGTATAAAAGTAAGAACAACTCATACAGAATTACCACAAGTCTTCATTTATAAAGATATATCATATTTAAATCAAAGCTGAAATCCAGGCAAATATACAAATAACTGTAGCTCTATATTCCTAAATATATAAGAACTGCAAGTAGTGTAAGTACTGAATGTGACTTGGTATCAGCCTGTTGAAATCCAATGCACAGCAGAGCCTGCACCACAAGGAAGTGCTGAAGAGCAAGTAACATGCTGACAGAAGGAGAGAGAAGAGTGATGAGCATTTGAATATGCAACTTCTACTCCCATGTCCAGTCACAGGATGGGAGTGGGGAAGAGTGAAAGTGAAACTGCAGCAGAGAAAGATCAGGGCTCTTCCGCTGATTAGCAGAGCTGTGCTGCGTGGTCAAGCTGTTTAAATCTAAGGACTGGACAGACAGATTTACAGCTTCTTTGGAAGGCAAAAACACTCCCCTATAGGCAGTTCATCTGTG